GCCCATGCTTTACACTTTTATCATTTGTTCTAAAATGTTTTCATATTTTAGTAAAATATTTTATTTGAAATCGCAAGATCAAATATCATAAGATTGCAAAGTTTAAATTAAAAAAATACGAATTACTAAATTTTACGAAAAAATTTATTTTTCTTCTCTGTTTCTTTAAGCATTCTGAAAGTATATTGAAAAGCTCCACTTTTCGAACAGTTTGTATTTCTACAACTTTTAAATAAAGTTATCGCCTTCCATTTCATAAAGCCCACAAACGGCCGAGCGTAAATTTGCTGAACCTGTAGTTCACTCGGGTTCGAACCCGGGAACGGGCTGTTGCGCTGGGCGTTGGGATTCCTATTGTACCGGTGTGACAGCTGGTTTCCTTAGAAAGTCCTGCAGGAAGGCATCCTCCCTTAGGCAGATAGCCGTAGTTGCTTTGTGTCATAATAAATAAACCAAAACCTTTTGATGAAACCAGTCTTTGCTTCATCTCATAGCTTCAAAATGTTTAGCCTCTAAAGACTGATAAAGGCTCTCTGACAAATACTTCGTGAAGAACTTTCTAAGGAAACCAGCTGTCATACGCGGTACACATAGAAATCCACGAAAACGCCCATGCAACCAGCCCGTTTACCGGGGTTCGAACCCCGGAGTGAACTACCAGTGTTCAGCAACTTACCGCTCGGCCGTTTGTGGGCCTTTATGAAATGGAAGGCGATAACTTTATTTAAATGATTGTCAGAAATACCAAAATGTTTCGAAAAGTTGGATGCTTTTCAATATACTTTCAGAATGCTTAAAGAAACAGAGAAGAAAAATAAATTTTTTCGTAAAATTTAGTATTCGTATTTTTTAAATTTAAAACTTTTCAATCTTATGATATTTGATTCTTGCGATTTCAAAAATAATATATTTGACTAAAATATGAATAACATTTTAAGAAACCAAATGATAAAATTGTGTAAAGCAATGGGCACAATGATAAAACTGTTTAAAGCAGTGTATGCAAGTCATCCTAAGTTAAATATCGGTTATACATCTCTCTCTTATTAATATATATTTTTCTGAACGGAACATTGAAAGGCGTGTAAAACTGTGCTTTACTGTATTTTCTCTTTTAATATAGTATGCAGTTTTCAAACGCATCGTAGTCTGGGTTACAAAGTATTCTTCCGAAAAAAACGCAGTTCAAATAAATAAAATCAAATTCTTAAAATTGATATTAATAAATATATTTAAAATGCTCAGTTCGAAGGAATAAATAGAAAATTTTAAAAAACAATTATCTGAAGAGACAATGCAATACAAACAATTGAAATAAAAGAATAAACATTTTAAAATTGACCTAAAATAATAAGCTACGACAAAATATATATATAAAGAAAAGTATTTGAAAAAAAAACAAAAAATGAACGCTGCACCTTTATTTACGCAGTTCGAATAGGTAAATAGAAATTTTTAAAAACAGTTTTTCGAAAAAAAAAAAAAAAAAAAAAAAAAAAAAAAGTGCGACTTAAACAATTAAAATGAAATTCGAAAAGAAAAAAATTACTTAAAATAATAAGTTATAATTTAAAATATAATATAAAGAATATTATTTGGAAAAAAGGAACGATGGTGACGTTTTTTCCTAAGGAAACTAGGTTGCCATATATTAAGAAGTTCGCCAAGTAAAGTATTCTTGGCGCAAACTGACAAAAAAGTGCCAACATAAATTTGTGAATTTCTCCGTAAATTTCGCTCCAAATTTTACAAAATTTCATATTTAGGCGTAATTTGAGTCGTAGAATCGAATATGTAAAAAAATTGGTATGTTATTTCAGAAAAAGTCCGATTTGTGTCAAAATACCTATGTTAGAATAGTGCTATATATAAATCTATATATCCTAAGTCGCGCTTTCGAGACATGAAGAAACGCAATTTGAATTTTGTCAATCGGCCCAGTAGATCGGGAGATATAGGACTGTCCCATTTTTTTTTTTGAGCAGTGTACATGTGGTTAGAGTTATGTATAAGGGTGGAATAAGGTTGCTACAGTTGCGTATAAGGATCAATTACACTAATACAGGGATCGGACTAAATTATCGTCAAATGGTCATCAAGTTTGGCCATGACTGGCTTGGCGATATTCGCCTTACAATACATCCTGCAAGATATGGCGCCACCAGAGCTCCAATCAACTAAAATGCTTTTCATCTCTACTAGTAGATGACGCCACACGAGAGCCTCCTTTCACTACCACTGCACTGTGCAATTTTCATCAGGATTATGTCATGCTTATGCCATCTTTAGATTAATCACATCCTCAACTAATTGCTTTTCATTGAATATGCCTTTTATACCTCATTTATTGCTTTTCCAGACTAAATTCATGCCATGCACTGCTAAGACTAATGCCATGCCATGACAGACAGACTTAGTTACTTATTTTAGAAAGTTGCTTATTTTAGATTTTTCGCCATACTTTAAGATGATTGCTCCTCTTTTTTACTGCTTTGGTTTATCGCCATGCTTATCCATGCCATGCTTTTCAAGAAGACTGCTCTACGCCTGATTATGCCTCACATCTTGCTGCATTATTGCTTCGCTGGACTTTGTGCAATCGCCAAAGGTAAAAGTATGCTTGCATTTTCTAATAATCACCCACGGGTGTTGATCCTACTGGGCATCATCTCTTTTATTATACTGCTATTGGCCATCGGCTCCAGTTTTATCTACTAGTAAAGACTCCTAGAAGTAGAGGCTAGAAACAATCGAAGTTCACAAGTTCACAAAGAGCCTTATTTCTTCTAAGTTCACTTATTCTACGGACGGCGGCACAGGAGCCTCCGTCGCTAGTAATCTCCGAGTTCTAGCGCAGCATGTGCACAAGTACTTCATATTATTGGATACAACTTATTCAATTCTTCACGCATTTAAAAGTCAAGTATAATATATTGGTAAAGACCGTTAATGGCCGATTGCCTCTTTCTAATTGATAAGACATAGACATAGATATTATTTAACTATAATGTATACATAATATAAGTATGCATTCAGTGAACATTCTTTTTTGAATCATTTATCCATTATATTGCATAAGGCAGGAGTACTTTAAAAAAGTGTTTACCAATTTTCATCAGAAAATTTATAATTTAGTTTGCTGTACAACAAAAAATACAGATTTGTAAGTATATGTAGAAGTATGGCTCCTTTAGTTTAATAGAGCTTTGGATTTAATAAGTATAGTTTTTTTAATTTAATATATTTTATAGTGCACATAATTTAATAACATAATGTAACAAACAGAAGCTCCAATTTTCTGCTTTTTAGGCATGTGGTACCATATATATTCTTTACTTTTCTTCTTACTCATTTACTTACATATTAACTTACTGACTGACTAACTGACGGTTTTCCTGCCTGTAGTCAAGTATTTTTGACTGCACAAGTGAATATATGCAATGTTCTTCAGTAATATTACATTTTTTCATGCTTCTATAGCTATCCTTGCATTTAGCATTCTTAAATGCAAACTTTCTGAATGCATTTCTAAGTAGATTTCATGTATCAGTATACGTTTCATTCTAAACACTACCCTTTTTCTTTACGCTGTTATTTTAGATTTAGTATTCACATATATGAGCGCACAATGCTTTTTGTCTGCTCTAAATCACGCTCTTTGCCATAAACTCCTAATTTTTAAATAAAAGTTTCATATGTGCATTCCCATTTTATTTTAGTATCCTGTACACCCAAAAATTTACTTGGCTTGCATATGAAAGATAGGTGAAAGGATACAAGTGAGATAAATACATAAAAATGAGAAAATGTCATAATTTGCATACAATGTAAGTGAAAATAATGTAAGTAATGCTTTTGAAATGTGAAAGTAATATGATATGTATCTAATATTATACGTAAAAAAATATTATGCGTAAATTATGTAATTCTTGGTTTTATTCATTTAATAAATAATTCACATATATCCTTTCCCATATCACTGTATTTTGAATGATATCCCTGCATGCTAATCGTATATTTCTACGCCTCATCCAAAGTTACATTGTACTGAGCGCAATATCGTATTTTTATATTCAGAAGGTTTTTTTTTTTTATGAATAATTACTTTCGTTCCTGAATTTACACGGTCTCTTAAAGCCTTAGAGTGCATATTTCACATCGATGCTCAGCTACCTCCATGACCCGCAGAGGAAATGATTTGAATAAATCACAAGATTACAAGTGGTTTTCCAGATTCAAAAAACTACCACTTTTCAAATGAAGACTGCTGAGATTCTAGCATCTCTTAATGAGCAGAAATGAGGAAAATAGTGAAAACATGCGACAGGTTACTAGTGAAGATCGTTGAAAGACTATTCTTCAGACTTACTAAGAAACGCTTTCTTTCAGCAGCGTTTAGGAAAGAACAACTTGGTGTCTATATTGCATTTATGTTGCTCACCAAAGCGCTCGAGTTGAATAATATTCCATTTCAAGAGCTCTAGAGCTGTTTCCATGTTTTCAGCAGAGGACAAAATATTGGAAAATGTGCATCGATGTTGGTGGAAAACAATTTTAAGGGAACTAAAATATATGATTCTACAGTATAATGTAATTGTGTAAAAATAAATCCGGTTAATTTTCGGAATCATCTGCACTTGTTTTGCCTCAGTAAGATCCGAAAAAATTGATTCCATTAAAATTTCTGAGTCTGCTTATTCAATATCATGCAAATAACAATGAATATTGATTTTCGATTTCGGAATAGAAGAATTAGAGGAGTGGAATTTTTGACCAGGCAAGTGGAGGACGGATAGTGTAGATAGGTAGGGAAACTTTCTATTCGAATATTGGTGGCGTATCTAAATGACATGATTAAATTGATGATGCTCTTAATTGTGACTTAACAGTGACAATGATTAAGAATGCCTCTTAATTGGGCCATAATATTACGAATTCGATTTTTCCCATTAACTGCAGTATTCAATTAAATTATTTATAATTTTTTGATTTACACTTACCAGAATATCATATGCATAGTGGGCTGCACGATGAAGAGAAATTTTGTTGAACTCCTGAAAAGATAGGCTTTTCCAGTCCCAAATCATAACTAAACCACATACTTGAGAAGCTTCTATGCGAATTAACATTAAACCCATCGTCATAAGTGTGGCTGTCAAATCTTCCAGTGTAGTAGTCTCGAAGTTATGATGACCTAAAAGTAAACTTTGATTGGAAACGTTTAATTTAAATTTAGAAACGCAATACTTTATCCTATGTTACAAATAAAGCGTAGGAAGAGGCGTCCTTTATCAATATGCAATCTTTCTCGCTAATGTGCGTTCAGAGGCAAATGTCTCTTTTATCAATGTTCACGTAATGATGGTAGACTTCAAGTATCAGAACTGGAGAATTAGAATTTTATAAATGACAAATGGTATAAAAATAAGATAATAAATGACAAGAAATTGCCGAATGCCATCAACGTTTAAATTCGGGATTAAAGTAAATGTTATTTACGTAATTCGCTACTTTTAATAACGATACTGAATAAATGGTACTCGAAATAATAGTTCCTGAAACATATTATCTGGAAGATAAAGATGGAGAAGATTCAAGAGTTACCATTACTCCAATGCATCGTGCTAATTTCTTCAGAAGTCCTTAAATTCAAAAAGCCTCATTTCACTGAATGGCCGAATCAGTTTAAATGAGATAAGGCATTTCATGCAAAAGACAGCGATGATTGTATTATTAAAGAAGTTAATTACATTGTATGAATGATATATTTAAATTTCTGTGCATAGATATGCATGGCAACATAGTTCTGACACGCGATATACATAGCAATAAGTTAAGAAATACATATAAATATTACGAATCGTATTGAAGGTAAATCGCTGCTAGTGACTACTAAACTAATGTAGTCTACGTGTAGATTTAACTTGGCTATTGAACTGGCCGAGTCGGTGATACTTGCTACTTAGTATTGAGTTTCTTTGTTCTTCGCTTGTGTTGTGTGACTTTTCGCGTTTTTATTCATTTATTTATGCTAATTTGACACACTCAGAATGTCAGTTCTGAGAATACTTGTCTTGTTAATACTTGTCTTAGGATTTTTTTCCTGCCTACCGATTGGATTTGGGCTTTCACTGATCGGACACTGACTGAACTGTCGAGAATTCAAGGACTTAGCAAGATTTCCACGTTGATCCCGGACGACGCTTTGTATTCGATAAATGCCGCTCCTTATGATGGAAGATAACCCGGATTTCGTTTCATTGTTCTCATATCTAACTCACCCTTGTCTCTCTGAGATGAAAGGTGTAGACAATCAAGCCACATTCGTTAAGGCTATTCCGGATTCCTACCAGTATAGAATGCTGATGATATGGAAATTGAGGATGTAGGAGCCAACCCATGAACAACAGGTTCGCTATTCTTCGCGATGAAAGTGAAGCTTAACCTGTCCTGATAAAATTCTATTGTTTGAAGAAACCCAGGCAATGAAGGAAAAACTCCAAGAATTTTATACCGCAGAAATTGCTACAAGTCTCACAAGAAACCATTTCCTAGTCAAACGAGACTAAACCAGCAGCAAAGCTCTCCTATTCATGGTCCAGGACGGAGGGAAACTCAGCGCCTTCCCCACCTGATAAACCGGCATTAGCTAATGAAGAAAATCTGGACTTTACCTGCCATGAAAATTGCAAATGTAGCAGCACACCATGATGTTTCCGATCAAATCAAAAATACTGCATTTGTCTACCAGCAACAAAAGTAAAAAAAAAAAAGTTACTAAAAAAAACTTTTTAAAGAAAATTTAAAAAAAAAAAAAACTTACTTAAGGTTGTAGAGTCCCTTGTGGTTAGTGGTTGTAGAGCGTATCGTTGCTTGGAAGTTGCTCATGAAACTTTTGGAAGACTCTGAATTCACGGACTACAAGGCTAAAATGGTAGCTGATTACCAAATTACCATTAAGATTTTCACGTCTGACGAATATCGCAAGGTAAGGCATTTTTTTAACGAAAAGGAAATCAAATATTAATACACATTCAGTGCGGGATGATAAAAAAAACTGAAGGTTGTACTCAGAAGCATTCCGCAAATGATGTTAGAGATGCACTTATCGAGCAAGGATTTCGAGTTGAACATGTTCTCCAGTTGACAAAGGCAGATAAAGAAACAAACGTGAAAAAACGCAGACCTTTATCAGAGGTCCCGAAGCAGTTACGATGCTGTTGTTCTTAATTATTCTGCTTAGAAATGACAAGAGTCGGGACATATTCAACACTAAGTTTTTCATCCATGCAATGCTAGCGCTGCCAGGGCTTTCATCACGCGCAAAGCATGTGCATGTTACCACCAAAATGCGTAAAATGTGGTTCAGACCGTCAATTCTGTTTTTATACCAAACGCAAAGATGAGCCTCCCAGATGTGAAAACTAGGGCTCGGATCACGTCTCCAGTTACTTTGAATACAGTGTTTCTCCAAGGCTTAAACAATAGTTGCAAGCAAATAGACTGTACTCAGTGAGAGTTATATTAAACATCTTCCATGTGTAGAGCACCAAAAAATCTGCAGAGATCGCTGAGCTGTCACAAAAGCTTTCAGAAGTCGAGGAGTTGATTGTTCAACTCACTACCGCAATCACCATTTTAAAGGACGTCTAAGTCTCCAAAATTATCGGAACACCAGTCAGGCTCCCAAACCGAGTAGCATGAACAGACAAATTTTCAACTCGTACTTTCGATTAAAATTGCACTCTGGAACATGCAAAATCTTGCATAAAAAGGCCTCTGATTTGACACAAAGCCTCTGATATTTTCTGCTATTGCAGCCGCGGCATCAATACGTAAACTTATGTCACTTTTATATGAAACATTGTTTGTATAAAAGCCTTACGGATATCTTGCAGACGAACCTTCTCGTAATGTATCTTAATAATCAGGATTTTTCGGTTAAATTTCCTGTGACACAGTTGCAGTCCTTTCGCGGAACATTGATTAGGTAGCGCTGCCTTGGGAGATCGTAGTGTGTCACACATTGAATCAAAGAACTAATTTCATTGAGCCAAAGAACTTGAATCCGTTCTTTGATTTCATTTAATCCTTTGATCCTTTCATTCATTTAATCCTTTCATTAAATCCTTTGATTGAGCTATCAGACCGAAATCTGTTCGAGGTTTATGCTTGGATAGAAATTTCGAAATCTTTAACAGAATGAAAATTCTTTTATCCTAATCAATTTGTTTTCTTCAGTATTTAAAACGATGTTCACGTTTTGCCATCGAGTGGCGGATTTTCCATTCTTCAGATATTTTTTTAGATGTTGCTTTTAAGGACTACTGGACCTTTGCTTTCCAAACAAATATATTTTTGCGGAAGGGAAACCGTTCTCAGTGGACATTGGAAAGGACAGGATAGTGATGAACATTCTTCGTAATTTTCAGAAAGGCGAAACTTTATGGGATCTTTTACTTACTTATCTTCTCTCTGTACAGTGGAACTTTCCTGTATCAAATATTCATCTGCACGCGAAGCTGCAAAATATGTATATCGTTCTTTATTGAAGAAAAAGTGAATGTTATTCAAAAAATTTTTATCTGAGAGAAATACAGCTTCTTTTTGTTTTAGCATTTGTAGCTCACATTTTGAGCGCGAGTGTCTATACACATGTAGAGTTTATATTTATTTTAACTAACATTTATTTATTTTAAGCTATCTTTCCTGTCAAGCCTTTACTTTCCCCTAGAATTGCCAATGCCAGAGTATGTAAATCGTAGTAGAACGCGCAGAGTATTCAAATTTTAGCAGAAGTAAGTTGAGTTTAAATAGAAGGGAAACGAGATTGTAAGTGTGCTTCTTGAATCGCGAGCGTGAAGGTTGCTAGGTAGAAATTTTAAGAACCGCGCGTTTCGGCCTGTGTGCCTATTTCGGCAGTTCGTTGAATCTTTCAACTTCTTAATCAGTAAGTTTGCTGAATCTCAGCTGTATCTTAGAACGCGGTTAAGTTAGTTACGATTATAGAGCCTCGTAGGTAGTGATTTCGTTATTTATTCATCCTGTCATTTATTTTTAGTTGTACTTTTCTATTTTGTTAAACCGCCGGGTCGGCGTAGTTTGTGAGCGTCAAGTGAACGCAGCTGTATTTCTAAAGTGGAATAAAAAGGGATTTAAACCCTTCTTACGAGTTTGTGTAATTTACAGTTCAAAGCAGTCACTACCACTGTTGCTGACAAGTTGGGGCCTCGCAACATTATATTGGCGCCCGAACACCTTACGAACTGAGATGGCCGAAAACTGGATGGAAGCTCCTGTACAACTCCAACAACAAGAAATGGCGAACCAGTTAGAAGGATTTGGATACCTGGTCCAAACGATGAGAGCATCTATCAAGCCAAACGTCAATTTCGACGGAAAAAATTCGGTGGCGATATTCTTAGAAGGCCTCGAAAATCACTTCCAGTTATACCCTGTGCCTGAAAGACAAAAAGTTGCCATTGCCACGTCTGCACTAAGAGGACAGGCCTCACTATGGTGGAAGAGTATAGGGAAATTTTTATTAGGAGAATTCGGAGGCCAAACATATACCTTTGAAAATTTCAAAATATCATTATTAAAGGCCTTCCCCATAGTGAAAGACCGAGCAAAGCTAGAAGTCGAGCTGTATAGTTTTATTATGAATTTATGTTCTGCATACAAAATGTCTGTATATAAGTATATGAATTTATGTTCTGTGTACAAAATGTCTGTATATATGTATATGAATTTATGCTCTGTATATATGATAATGTAACTATGCATCTGCGCATTTTATCCTGTAACACGGCACCGTATCGTATCGCAAAGAACTAACTAGGGTCCCACTCTAAAATTAATTGCACCAATTATCTGTTCAGCAGTTGTATTAAGTACCTATTGTTAATGAATGTTAAAGTAGCACTTACCTAACGCTTGGGTATCCATTAATTACTGTGTACCTAATACACATGTTTTAATATCTTTGTACATTGGTTAATGTACTTAGGAAACAGTACCAAATAATTTAGTAGCAAGACACTGTACCACACAGTACTAATCTAGGGTCTAAATTTTAATTCACTGTACTAATTACTTATTCCAGCATAACATTGCGCACCTAATTTTTCAGTATGTACATGTCTTCTGTAATCTAATGATCAAGCTTCAAAGGATCATAGTGTACTCAACATA